TGGGGGGGCAGGAGTGCTCATTGGGGCACGCTTCGCCACGGCGGTTGCGAACGGCTGAGAAACGGAGGTGGCAGGCAACGGGGGTCGGTGCAGTTGGGCGGCGCGCTTGCTCGACCCTGGCAGCGGGCACATGGAGAGCGGACGGCGGCATGTCCCAATCGAGCTGTGACACGACGGAGGATGACAGGGACCGAGGGAGGAAGGAGACGGCGACCATGCGCAGATCATTGAGAGGAAGACTGAACCCTAAGTCTGGGGCAAGGAAGCGCCACAAACCGCCATTTCCATTTCGAGCGAATCCAGACGAGAACTTTCGACGACCGGTCAGCCCGTGACAGAGAAGTCGTTTACGAGGTACAGAAGGAACGTTCTACTGTATACTCCCGGGCATCTACGAACCCCCCTGTGACTTCGGCGAGCTACTGCTGAAATGGAGGTCGGAGCGCGACGGGCGTCCAGGGCTGCCCGGAAGATCGAATGCGGGTTGGCGAGGCGAAAGGAGACGGAGTGGAGGTGTCGAACTGGAACAGCACTTCGCGCGTAAGCAAGCCCTGGATGGCTTGCTGGAACAGAACGTCAGCGGGCAGTGCTCAGGGTAAAACGGGGAGCTACTTGATAGCGGCGGGCTCGAATAGACCGCCGTGTTAAGGGAGGCCCAATGTCCGCGACAATCTGGTGAAGGCGCACGGCGTGCTGGCTGCGAAGGGTAGCCGGTGAAAGAGAGAAATTTGACGGCAATCTTGCATGCGCCGGAGGGCGCGCGCGGTGAAAGCCCGCTGGATGTCCCGGCCGACAGAGAGGTATGGTCGGGGACGCTTTGTGCATGTCATCATCGAGCATTTGAATGCTTCGATGACGTCGAGACGCTCTGCGGGATTCCGTAAATGGTTCGGAGAGATGGACGATCGAACTAACCGTCTCTGCGGCGCAAGCGTGGATATGTCAAATACGCCGGTGATGTGTCGTACGCTTGAAGGTCGGAGGTAATACGAGCGGCATCGGATCTGGGGCAAGAATCTGACGTACAACATGACGACGTGAAGGAAATGCTGGGCGGTGTAATGCGAAGCGTAGGGATAACCGGCGCCGGGTGGACCGAAACCGATACGGCGGTGAGCATCACCAGATCGCCGACCCTATTCACGGTCAGGGAAGCACTACGGCGGACGTACGACGTACTTGGAACTGGGTCAGTCAACGCTGGGAGGAAGTGTCGTCATCCCACATCGCACGGAAGAGACGGGTGTCGTCCACGATGACCGCGTGGATGGAGCCGTCGGCGTAAGCCAGCGTTTGACTCTGACGACAAGAACGAACTGCAAAGGACGTCACACACGTCAAAGATCAATTCAAGGCGTGGCGCGTACCTTGTCAAACAGTTCGCCATCCAGCCACCAAGTAGGCCCTTCCAACGATTCCCCGAAGATTTGAGCGCGGGACAGAGCTCGAGAGTGACAGGTCGCAAACCATGCGACAAGACTGCCTGCGTGTGTGTCAGGGTAGGAGTACAGGATGGAAGCCAGGGAATCCTACGTCTTCAAACGGGAGAGCCTTCGCCGGCGTGATGTCCCACTCAGTGGGCGTGGTCGTGTCATCTTCCACACCCTCGTCGGCCGCTTTGGGACTCTTGCTGACAAGCCCTCCGCGCCGGGGGACCGGGGTTGAGCAACGACGTCCGTGGCGTCTACGTAGAAGGAATGAGACTACGTCACTGCGACATAGAAGACCTACCAATTGGGGCGATCTTGTCGCGGGCGCCGCTTGCTGCGTCTTTGGAACGGGGAGACCCACCGATCGTACCGGGCCGAGGAGTTGGAGATGGATCCGGCGAGCTTGGTTTGACATCGGGGTCGCTAGCGGCCAATGCTGGCGAGGTTGGGGCGCCCGATGTCTTGCCCGAAGGATCGAACTGCTCCGCTGCTTCTAGCAGCACCGGATCGTCGCCTAAAGGAAGCAGTCAGTAGGACACAGCGCATACAACCAGCGATAGACGTACTGTAGAACTGGAAGTAATCTGGGAAGAGGTGAAGAAGGGTCAGTGTAAGCCAACACGACTGCAGAGAACGTAAACAACCCACCATCCGAAGGCGGTTGAGAAAGAGACATGGTTTGAGGGGCACGAGGGAGGAGAGAGGCGAAGAGGCAGTATTTATATGGAATGGGGGCGAGGAACGGATGACGGAAGCTGACGTCGTCCACGTATGGAAGGATGACGCGAAGTCCGGTAGGGCTGCAGCGTCGCGGGCTAATACCGGTCCCCACATAGTGATTGACGAGCGTGTTTACCAAACGGAATGAGCACCGGAGGAGTACCGCGCAAGTAGACTTACTATACGGAACAACATGGCTACAGTACGTATGCAACCTGTCAATGAGTAGTCAGTAAAGGACAAACAGGGATAACTGCGACGTTGTCCGCGCCCTGACGCACGCACCATAGGGCCTCGGTTAGACCCAGCGACGTCGCGCGAAAGGGCGCGAGACACGGCAGAGCAGGCTAGCACACCTTGACATTATCTGTGCGCATGAGCTACATGCCAGGTGGACGGTGCTTGAGCAGGTAAAGCGTCCGACCAAACGGCTGCAGACAGCATTCGCAGTCGGTCGTACACTCCGTGGGACGCTCGCCCGGGGGGGGGGGGGGGGGTGGCTAGATTACAGCCAGGTTGAGACTTTCATTCGGCTGCTGCCCGGAAAGGTATGAATTCTTGCGTGGAGAATGCTGCGAACCAAGCTGACGTATACTACACAAATGCGAGGCAGATCCGTGTACAGAGCTACTGCAAGACTACGACGGTATCACTAGATAGGAATTGTGTGAGGGACGATAGGTTGTAGGGAGTAGCGATGTACGACAAAGTATGTACGATTAGTCCGCAGGGAGGCGATGGGGAACTACTGCAGCGCGCCCACACAAGTCATAGAACGCCTGACAGTAAAACGACACCACGTCGTGCTCGACCTCCAGTATGAGGTTCGGGTGGTCCTCGGGGCGCAGCGTACGCTGGAGAGACGACGCGTTGGCCATTCACCAGGACACGGCGAAGGTGCTCGACGTACGCCGCGAGAACTCCGGACTGGAGAGAAGCCAGCCCTCCGTTGGACGCGGGGTATTGAGTGAGAACGAGTGAGCCATTCTGAAAGCATTTGGCGATCTCGGCGCGACGCTGCGTCCAGGCATACCGGCCCGTGGAAACCTGGCGGGTCAGTTTGAAGTCGACCGCAGCAAGTTCGAGGCGGAACGAGAGCTCGTACAGCTCCCACACCACCTTGCGTGCCAAGCTCGGTACGACCTCGCGGATGGGAGTCTTGACGGTGAACTCGAAGAATTGGAGCGTGGACGGCGTAGCGAAGTCGTCGGTGGGGAAGAAGCGACCAAACGCCTGCATCGCCTCTACACGATGCTTGGCTGACTTCGCCGCGGAGGTAGGAGTTGCCGCGGCGGCAGTTCGACGCTGTTCGTCCGTCATCACTAGGAGCGCATTCCAGATTGGCTTGCTGTACGGAACCAAGGCGTCGCTGTAAACAGCGTCCTGCATGTGCGCAAGCCACGCAGGACGGATGGTTAGCCACGTTTCCAAGAACCGCGCGAGACTGTTCGCAGTAGCGAACGTCGCCGGGTTAGGACAGTAGTGTCCGGACGGGAGACGGTCCTTAGACAGACGGGCAGGGTCGTTTTGGACCCGCTCGAGGGCCTTCGACCACTGCGTGATAGGAGGCGGTATGAGCGAGCTGTCGGCATCCACAAAGTGGTCGCGTCCCGCCTTCGGGGTCGGAGGAGTGTGGGTGGAACCTGTTAATCTGGTTAGGACAGAAACAGTAGGAAGGTAAACCCTACGTACCAGTCGGGGGAGGTGCCTTGTGGGCAGCCTTCGACTTCTTGGAAGGGCCGCGAGAGGACGAGGTCGCCGAATCGGGATGAGAGGACGACGGAGGGAACCAGTGGACGCAGGGCCGGGATCAGGAATGCCAGCGCTGTAGACCCTCATGCCGAAGGTGTGGACGGCTGAGAGGTGCGCCAGGCCGGGCGGACCACGTATTGCGTTGGGTATGGAGGATCGTATTCTAAGATCATGACACCGCGCTCCTGCGGTAGAGACGGCTCGACGACTTCCTGAATCTTGAGCTCGGGGACGAGCTGCGAATAGCGACGGATATACCAGACGGGAATCCCAGCGCGGTAGAGCCGAGACACAACTGCAGGGTCAGCGGAGATGGCTCCCATGAGACTTGAATCGGTCTGGTGGACCTTCGTGTCGACCATACGAGCGTTGAACGTGTTGACGAAATCCATGTACGCCGAGGCCTCGGCGTAGTAGCGTTGATACTCACGCATCTCCCACCGGAAGCGTTGTAAGTGACGGGAATGCTGCGCATCGTTCAACCGCCTCGGAAGCGGAGAGCGCGAAGTTCTTGAGGGCGGCATGGATGTTCTCTGGACCGCGGCGGTCGGATTTCGCCGCATCCTCTGCGATGAATTGGGACACCTGGATGTGCAGAAACTCGAGGTCGGCTGCGAGGACAACACGTCGGTCGGGATGGAGGAGGACGAGGGGGTTGCCGTGCTCGTCGACGGTGTTGCTGGGTCGCCAACTCTCTGGACCGACGTTGTCGAGCACTGAGATCGGAAGCTCGGAGACCCCATGCGTGGGTTCGGGAGCACGCACAGGTGCGTGTACTTGGGGTGGAAGAGCTGTGGCCAGCGTGTAGGGTCCGCCGGGCCGTACCAACCATCCTGACGTGCACGTACTTCGATCGTATCGAGGGAAACGGTAGGTATCCACGTCATGTTAGGCGTTGAGATCCAATGCTCAGCGTCCAGTCGGGCGGCAAACTTCGCGTCCGTGAAGTACCATTGCTCTACGACAACTTAGCTGGTAAGTAACTACCGCAACGAAAGCTGCTTACGGTCAAGACGGCCGGTTTGTGTACGTAAAGTATTGTGAAGGAGCTCCATGTTGCGCGAGGGAAGGGGGACGCAGGACAACGAAAAGACGGTTATGGTGAAAGAACAAGCCACAGCGCTTGCGCGACGCTCGTGGCAGACTCGGGAAACGACCGAAAAGGAAATGTGACAAACTAGACGGAAATGTGAAGAAGTACACACGGAAGCGCCAGGGAATGTCGACGGCGATGAGGATCCTGCGCAGCGTTGAGCGGGGTGGGTAGAAGCAAGAGTTGAACGACTTACTTAGGTTGCGACACGCTTGCAAGCCCAATCGAAGATGATGAGATATGTCATCATGTCAAAAGTTGGGTGCATCTCCAGGCAGGCTGCGATGTATTCCTCGACGTCCGCGGACGGTTGTTCAGGATTCGCTCCGCGAAAAGGGCGCTGCGAAGGCCAGGGTCTGCCCATACAACGTAGACGGCGGGCTTGATGATGTCGCCGAAGACGCATTCCGAAGGGGCTTCGAAGACATGCCAACCGAAGAATTCCTTGTTGCTCTGTGACGATGAACGCATGAGGTCCAAGCCGGTGTGGGGTATTTCAGACGTACCTGAGGTCGGAGGCATTTGAAGCAGTACCCATTCGGAAGCATCATCTCGCGCTTGAACGTTTGCCAGCCGTCATCCCGGGCGCTCGTGAACTGCGCAGTGCACGACCGGTGCATGTAGGAGCGACCGAGGACGTAGCACTTTGAACAGCGCCCGCGGACAAGGTTGAGGGCGTCGTCGATGTGTTTAGCAATGATGGACTGCTGTTTTTTCAACACATCGGCCCGTGCGGCATCGAGAGCTACACGCGGCCCGACGGCGGTAGGGGAACCGTCAACATCGGGTCCCTCAGCACCTGGCAGCGAGCGGCGATGGGAGTTGAGAGGCATGCGAGAGCTGCCAGCGACGGCTCGTGAAGATGAACCTGGCTGGCTGGCAGCCGCGGAGGAACGATTGGACTAAAAACGTCCGTGAGGGATGCAGCCCCGCGGCGACGGT